TTTAGCAATAATGTATATATTTATTATATTTGTGGATTAATAGTTATGTATGACTACCTAACTTGTGTGTTCAAGCATACCTAAAGTTAAATCTCTAGACATACTGATGGCCAATATTAACAAGAATAAGAAAAATTTAGCAAATTCACACATTTTCTCCTTAACACATGGTTAATTAAACAATAGAGGGATCCAAGTCCTTTGCTATGAAAGTCTGTTTGCTTTTCACACCAAGGAGTCAAGCTTACTAGCCCTTGAAGAATTCAAACAGAAACTTTGTTTACTAGCCAGATGCATGGTAAAGGCCATAATTAAATAAATGCCTAGAGAATAGGAAGATAAACATAGACAAAAATCCATACACTTTTGCTTGTAGTTCTTTTTTCTTAGTGCCTATTTCATAGGTTTCCATTTTTCATTTATGAATTGGTGAGGGGTTTTATTGCAAACCACAGAATCCACTCTGGATAGTCTAAAGAGAAGAGATTTATTCAAGAATCTCAGGTAGCTCACAGAATCCCTTCAAGGGCCATCCGACTGGGTTTGAATGCAGCATATTCTCCAGTGATAACTGCCCAGAACTACACCCTGCCATGGTGCAGGATTGCTATTGCCAGGACCCACCACTGCCACCCATTCACTGATTGTGCTTGATGCTACATCACAAAAATTGTCTACAGACACCTCCTGAAGAATAAGATGCCTTCGCTACCATGTTTGCCAGAAGACTGATCTCCCCACACATGGTCACTGTTCATGTTGCTACCTTCCACGTTGTACTTCTCGTCTTCAATGGATGTATTTGCCTGGTGCAATCTAGGTCTGATGCTTGCACTGTTGCTGCAATTGAGTCTGGAAGGAGTAGTGGTTTTGGTTTTGGTTTTGTTTGTTTAATTCTATGTTGGTAAGGTTGGATTCACAATGGGAGAATCTATCAAAATATTGAGAGTGTTTAAAAGCTAGCAGGCAGCTACAAATGATAAAGTTCCAAAGGCTATGATTAAAGAACCTCAGAGAGGACACATTTGTTATAGGATGAGCTGGAAATTAAAATTAATGATGCATTAACAGGGAGTGCCTACTAAAAGTTGGGAATTAAGGGCTTTTTTGAATCTTGATGTGTAGGAAATTATAATTTTTATAATTTATGAATTAGAATTTCTGAGTTGTATATATCCAAAATACCAAGGTATAAACTGAACATGAAATATGCATGACCTATGAAGAAAGTGATAAAATGTACTGAGGGGCATAAAAGACAAGAAATAAAAAGACATCTACTTGTGAAGATGATGGTGCTCTCAAATTCAATCTACATGTTAATGGTAATTCTAATCAAAATCTCTAGCAAATTTTTTGAAGAGATCCTGACTAAATGATTCTGAAGATAATCTTGAATCATAAATACAGCTGACAATATTCTGAAAAAAAACATAGTAGCCAATAAAACTCTGAAAAAGAAAAGTGATGAGGGGTAAGCAGAGGTATGTGGTTCTCCTACCACAGTTATAGACAGAAGGATGAGATACAGCCATGAGTCCAGGAGGAGATTCACGTAAATAGGGAAATAAAATAGTACCTGATAAAGTTGGCAGTGTAAAAAACTAGGATTATTTAATGAGTAGTGTTAAGAAGGCTGGTTAGTCATTCAGGAAATAAAGAGCTCAATACTGACTTCAATCACTGTGTTAACAAATTCCAAATGCATCAAATATTTAGAGTATAAAACTAAACCATAGAATTATAAGAAAAAAACCAAGGATGGCTAGTACTATACACTCTTGTGGTGGGGAAAGCCTTTTCCCATCACACACACCACTCCCTCCAACCACATGCACGTACACATACAACTTAAAGAAAAATATTGAAATATTTAACGATAAAAATTAAAAATTTCAATAGTAAAAGAAACCATAAAAAAAATCAGAAGGACTTAAAACAAATTGGGAAAACTCTTTGAAACAAACATCTGAAGATGTGTCTGAAGATGAAATCAGGAGACAATGTAGTCCTGGGTTTAAGGAGATTGGTTCTCAGTCTTTTCCTACACATGTAATATGTGAAGGGTCTTCAAAATGTTCATGGAAAGATTTGTATTATCTTTTTTTTTTTTTCCTTTTTGTCTTTTTTCGTGACCGGCCACGGATTGCAACCCTCAGTGTCGTGCCCGTACCGGACCGGGACCGGCTACAGGATCGCAACCCTCGGAGTTGCTCCCGCACCTCGCTCAGCCAGTGAGCGGGAACCGGTCTGTATGTGGGATCCGAACCCTCGGTGGGAGCGCCGCCGCGCTTCCCAACCAGCGCACTGTAGCAGTGCGCCACCGGGCCGGCCCGATTTGTATTATCTTTTAATTCTATTTTTCTACAAAGTATTCTCATATATAGACCAATAGTCTATATGTCTCTTCCGTTAATTTAGTCCCTTTATAGAATTTTCATTGGCTGCATGTTTTATGGTGTATAGTAAAGCTATGCTGAAAACAACAAAAGATTTTATTAATTCATCTTGCAAATTTTTTAAGTTCAAGAAAACATGTTTTTGTTTTTTTTTTAAAAAAGAAGTTGTTGTTCACTGTATTAAATCAAGTTTTGTGTATTGAATGTTTCCCTTGGAGAATTTTTTTTCAGATAATTTGCGTTTATGTAAAAAGTCATAAAAAGTTTGCTGGGATTATGCAGACTTTTCTAGCTTCATTTGCTTTCCTAGATCCCAGAAGAAAAGGCAGACTTTTAAAAAGGGGGATTGCATTCCCTTCTGATTGTTATTCTAAATCTGACTTGATAGCAGAATTCAAAGTACATCATATCCCAGATAAAGCTAGCTGCTTGCCAGACTGCTCTGTTACAATTGAACTGTAAATGGCTCACATCAGCACATTCTGTCAACTTTATATAAACCCTACTTTATGTAACATGATTAGAGATCCCCTGAACACTGCTCTCTACCTGCAACTTGCAGACTGATTCTCTTGATGTTGTCCACCAGACACGATTGTGAAAATCATGATGTGGGCTGGTGTTGAGGACATAGGTGGAGGTGATAGGTGGCTAGTGCCGGGTTGTTTTGTTTTTCTACATGCCTGTTACCCCCAGTGCAAAAGAGAGTGGATAAATATGTTCTTTCTTTTCCCTCCAAGACATTAATCCTTGATCTCTGTCTTTACCACATCCAGAGATGTTTCGGGGCTGGCTAACATTAACAGGCTCTGAGCACTCCATAGAAGAGCATGTGATTGATGTGGTCAGCATGCCCTCCTGTGCAATATGATTTATCCAGGAAAGTTTCACTCTCCATTTCTCTTTGACAATATCATTCCCTCTGCTCTCTGATCAGGCTGACCTGATGGTTTGGAGAGTTTCTAGAAGGTCCAGTTCAGATCAACAGGCATTTATTGAGCCTTTGCTGTGTACATGCCCTGAAAGAAGCACTCAGGATAACAAGAAAAGCATTGCAAGATCCCCACTTTTGTGGAGGTGACAGCCTAGTGGGAGAGAAAGACAAAAGCTAGAGTTCCAGTATAGCATGATTAATGTTAAAATAAGACTCCTGGCTCTTGAAGGAGCATAAAGCAAGCATACTTAGTCTAACTTGGGGTCCGGAAAAGCCTTTCTGAAGAGATGACACCTGATTTGAGTCTGAAGGCTGAGAAAGAATTGTTTAGGTGGGAAGAGAAATCCGTGCAAAAAGAACAGCCTCCGGCCCCGTGGCGCACTCGGGAGAGTGTAGCACTGGGAGCACAGCGTTGCTCCCGCTGTGGGTTCGGAACCTATATAGGACTGGCCGGTGCACTCACTGGCTGAGCACAGTGCAGGTGACACCAAGCCAAGGGTTGCGATCCCCTTACCGGTCACGAAAAAGACCAAAAAAAAAAGAACATCCTGAGAAATCTCACAGAGACATGAAATAGCAAGGGAACATGGGCAGAGAAAGTCCCAGAATTCAGAATTACTAAAGGGAAATGTTTCAGGCATGGAGTGTTGGGAGATGAGGCTAAAGAAAGAAGTAGGAGTTGGGAAGACTTGGGTGCCATGTTTGGGTTTTATTCAGTAGGCAATACCGAATCCTTCATTCCTTGCTTTCTTTCATACCCACATTCAATCCTTAAGCAAATCTTCTTGGCCGGTTATCCCAAATCTGACCACCACCACCATCCTAGTCAAGGCTAATATCACCTCCACCTGGATCGCAGCAGTAGCTCCACAATTATTGTGGAAATCAGGTCTCCTTGCTTTCCTTTCTCCCTCCCTGCAGTGTGCCCTCTGCACAGAAGTGAGTGTTTCCTCTAAAACACAAATTAGGTAATGATGTCCCCCAGTACTCAAACCTCCAATGGCTTCTTCACATCCAGAATAAAGTCTGCATACTTACCAAGGCCTGAAAGGCAAGGCCTTGATTGAATTGGCCTCTGCACCCCTCTTGGCCCCCTCAGGGCTGACTGTCTCCCCTCACTCCCTTGTGCTGAGAAAGGACTCTTCTGCCTATTCTTTTTAAAACGTACCCCTGCTCCCATCGCTATCTCTTTTTTGTTTATATATATACACATATGTGTATATATATGGGTGTGTGCATATATGTGTATATATATATAAATCATATACTTGTCTGCTTATTGCTTGTCTTAGCTACAGGAATGTGAGTTTCAAGAAGGCAAAAATGTCTCTGTTTGTCTGTGTTTTTTATTGTATCCCCCGTGCTTTGTTAAATAAGTGAAATGACTGAATCAATGAATAAATTTAGAACAATTCAAAACCTGGGAGTGAACTGATCAGGTGTGTATTTCAGGCAGATCACTCTGTGTGTAATGTGGAGAATGTATGCAAGGAGATAGATTAGGGTGGGGGAGGTGGATAGGAGTTAGACCAGTTAGGAAGCGTTCATGTTAGCCCAGGTCAATGGTATGAAGGACTGAACTAAGGCAGTGGTATTTGGCATGAAGAAAGAGAAGATAGATTTGAGAAGTGTTTTAGTGATAAATTGGCCAAACATGATCAAATTACATCTGGGCCTCCCTTCAGAGTCTTGGCTACATAAAGGGATGATAAAGGATGATGAAACTGGAGGTGGTCCAGAACCAGAGGGGGCAGGATGATGTTGCCTGAGTGCCTTCTGGGACAAGCGCTTTTCCATTTCAGCATTTCCCTGGGTTAAAATTGCCAAGGCGTTCATGTGTCCTTTGTGAAGTGCAGAAGCATTGTCTTGCTCTGGATCTGAATGACTACACTGAGTTGGATGTATTTTTGGCACCAGTTGGATGTTCAATAATAGTTTTAATGATAGTTTCTACAGCAATTGGGTTTACCCTGGAGGCTTCCCATCTCTCTAATGACTAGGGCCAAGCCTGCTTAGTTTATAAGATCTGGCAAAATTACAGTGTGAACTGGTAATGCCATGGGGTGTTGTACAAATTATACCAGGCCTGTCTCTTGTATAGCCCTGAGGAATTTATCTGAGCCCAGTGCCTCTAGAGACTTCAAGAATACTGACTTCAAAGGCAGTGCTGCACTGTTTTGGACACCACAGCCATGTACCCAGCAAAACTAGAAGGGGACCCACAGTGGCTAACTCATAGAAGCATTTGATCTGCTTGAAATTATTGAAAAATTATTTGATCTGTTAAAATTGATACCTAGTTAAATGTCACAATTTTGTTTTCAACATGGTTTGGGAAAGTTCTTTTTAGCTTGGGAAAATTTATTATCTTAGCCAAGGAAAGAATTATGTGGGCCTCAAATCTATGAACTCTCAAACCAAGAGAGATTATGAAATTATTTTGGATGATTGGGACGGAGGTCTTTCCAAAGAAAAGGTTTATCACATGGGTGATTTAAAACACTACTAAAATTGCCTCTCCAAGCAATGACCTAGAAATCTGACAGTGTGATAATGAATTCTCAAACAAATAAAACAAACAAACACAAAAATCACATTGGAACATCTCACAATTGGCAGGATGGAAACTGGCAACGATAACTTCTGGAAAAATGAGTTGGATCTTATAGCATTAAAATGAGTTTGGGGACTATAACATGAAGTCAACACTTTTGTGAGAATTTTGGAATGCTCAATTTCCCACAATCCCATCATTTCTCTGCCTGACAATTGTAATTATTCTTCAACAACTTGACAGTCAAATTTGCTTCCTGTAGTGATAATATACCTGCTACCATCCTGACCATATTGGAGAAATAGCTTTTTCTTTGATAGGTTTGTTCATTTTTGAAGCTAACTTTCTGTATTATTCTAACCACTCTTTTACATTATTCATTAACTCATCACCATTCATGCTTCTGACAGTAGCATGTAACTTTGGAAAAAAAGAGGAGATACACAATTGTCTCCCTGATCATAAAGCAAAGATTACTTCACTTATGTCACAAATTAAAACTAATTAATTACTTGGGCAAGGCATGATTATTAGTTTGTTTCTGTTGCTTATAACAGAATACCTGAAATTGAGTAATTTATGAAGACATAAAATTTATTTCTTACAGTTTGGAGGCTGGCAAGCCCAAGGTCAAGGGAACACATCTAGTGGGGGCCTTCTTCTAGGTAGGAACACTGAGTCCTGTGGGGACTAAGGTTTCACATGGTGAGAATAGGCTGGGTGAGAGAGAGCTAACTTTCTCACTCGCTTTCCTTATAAAGCCATCAGAAACACACTCATTACTCCATGAATGGATCAGTCCATTCATAAGTGTACAGTCCTTACTGTCTAATCACCTCATAAAGGCCCCACCTTTCAATTAACATAATTAGATTTCCCACCCTCTTAACACTGTTACAATGGGGGTGAGTTTCCAATACATGAGCTTGTGGGGTACACCTTGAACCCACAGCACATGACATGCTACATCAGAAAATATCGGACATTATTGTATGCTTTCAAAACATCTAAGGTTATTAAGTAATAATGTACTTAACATATGAGACATTATAAAGAAGTCTAATTCTGTACAGGCTGAAAAAATATGCATGGGACACTAAGACCAGGTCATATGGTTAAAAAAAGAATAATAATGGGGAAAATAGAATAATTATAAAGTGAAAGCACCTGAGAGTAAAAGATTTTGATTTGAAATCTAGTTTCTTCATTATTTATTCAATAAGTTTTTACTTACCTCTGAGAAGGTGACATTTGAACAAGACTTAAGGAAGGTGATGGAGTGGACCTTGGAGGTCCCTGAGGAAGCAACTTTCTAAACAGAGGGAGCTGCCAGTGCAAAGGCCTTGCAGTGGGACTGTGCCTGGAGTGTAGGAGCAGGAGCCTAGAGGGGCATAGAGGCCAGGGAAGGAACAAAGCAGTGCATGGGGCAGAGTAGCAGGAGATGAGGTCAAAAGGTGACTGGGGCCTGGACAGTCCAATGTGGGAGGTTTTGCTTTTATTCTGTGTGAAATAGGGAGGTCTTGCAGTGTTTTGATGTGATATGGCTTAAGTTTTAAAAGGTTTGGTCTGTCTGGGTGTTGAGAACAGATTGTAGGGGTCAGGTGTGGAATCAGGGAACTTTTTAAGAGGCTAATCCAGGATGGTGGCTTAGGTCAGCGGAAGCGGTGGAAGTGGTGAGAAGTGGTCAGATTCTGGATATGTTTTAAAAGCAGTGCTGTTGAATGGATTGTTGGAGGGAAAAAAAAATGCAAGTCAAGGATGATTCCAGGGGAAGAGAGGGGTTACCATTTGTTTTAGATGTTTAAGCATACTGCAACAAATTACCACAAACTTGGTAGCTTAAAATGACAGAAATGTATTCTCCCATAGTTCTGGAGGTCAGAAGTCCAAAGTCAAGGTAGTGGCAAGGTTGTATTCCTTCTGAAGGTCTAAGGGAGAATCTATTCTTTGTCTCTTCCAGGTTCTGGTGGCTGTTGGCATTCATTGGCATTCTTTGGTGGCATCACTGAAATCTCTGCCTCCATGGTAGCATTGCCTGCTTCTCTTCCTTCTGTCTCTTAGGACACTTGTCATTGAATTTAGGGCCCACCTGGGTAGGCCACAATGATCTTATCACAAGAACCTTAATTACATTTGCAAGGTCCCCTTTTCCAAATAAGGCAATGTCCACAAGTCCCAGGAATTTGGAATTGGACATATCTTTTTTGGAGCCATCATTCAGCCCACTACACCATTTATGGAAATGGAGAAGTTGTGAGTCAAGCAAGTGGCGTGAGAGGGAGGAATGGAGACAATTTTTCTTTTAGCTGAGAGTGATGTCAGAGGAGACGGTTTGGGGGGGCCCTGATAACAGACCTCAACCCACCCCATCCCCTTACCAGGTTCTTGACTCTGCCACAGGAAAGAATTCAAAAGCACAGTCACAGTAGAAAGTGAGAACAGGTTTAATGTAATGAATAAGAGATACAGGATCCACAAAGAGATTGGAGCCTGGCTCCAGAGACTGAGCATGACCCATACCAAGTTTAATACAAAAGTAAGAAATACACACTTAAAGTTTAGTACAGAGTGTAGACTGGCTCAGGAGAGCGAGAAGCCACTTGCTAAAAGTAAGTTTAACACAAAAGTAAAGCATATACATCTGAGTCAGTGAAGTGTGGGTTGCCAGGAAAGTGAGCAACAACCCTGCCCCCTAATGGGAGTCAGCTTTTATAGTTTTGCTATCTAATATGTATTCATGCAAAGTAATGAATATCCAAATAAGGGGTGGTTCCCTGTTATGTAACATAATCTTGCACATGCTCAGTTAGTCTCTTTCGGAGCATGTTCATTGGTCAAATTCTATCACATGCAATGAACATATTAAAGAATATTCTATGCTCTTTTGCATCTCTAGTGGAAGGTCATTCGCAGGATAAACTCCCTTCCAGTGAGCATGCTCAGTCACTGGGGTCATATAGGCCAGTGTAAATTCCTTTTACTGAGCATATTCAGCTACTGGATTTGCATAAATCCTCCCCTTCTGGTCTCAATTTCGCTGTGTTGGTGCTGAAAATAGGTCTAATTAGCAAAAGTAGCTTTCCTCTAGGGGAAGGCCTAGAAAGGGGTCGGAGACCTTGGGGAGTGGCTTGAAACCCAGAAGTGTCCTGAAACCTGAACTCAGGGAAACTGAGCACCTGCTATCTCAAGAGGACACCTGATAACAGCCTGAGTGGTTGAGTTAAATAACCAGGTATTATTATTAAAGGTACTCATTATATTGGTCATGTAAAAGAATGGATTATTAAACCTTTATAAAAATCCAACAGTCTGCTTATGTTTAGCCATTATTCTCATTCTCCATGAGATACTTTAACTCAGAATGTTAAAATAAGTGAATTATTCACTTTTTAACTTTACTTTCTTTCCCTTCCACCAATATACAGTTTGTTAAGAAAGCATTTATTTATTCATTTATTCAGCAGATATTGATTCAGCATCTAAAATGTGTAGTTCACTGTGCTAGGCAATTCAGAGATACAAAAATAATTAAGAATTAATTTCCATCATTAAAGAATTTATAAATAATAATTTGGCTCAAACTAGTGTTTACTCCCCTATGTTCTGTCCTAATGTGGCTTTGTAACCATACAGCTTACATACAGTAAGTGTTTTGTGAGCAAGAACATGGGCGACTGAGTCTCCTTCACTAGTTAAGATTAATGGTCACAAAATCTTTCTCTTGCTTTTTGTTTCACAATCCTTGCCTCTCCTTACATTGAGAAAGTTTAAGCAATTATAGATAGTGAGCTTCAGGTTCCAAAAGTGCTTCAAAATGCAGGAACAAGACACCAGAATGAATACATAGTGGGTGGAATCAGTTTATTTGGAGGAGCTTTTCCTAGAAATAACCCATCCTACACTCTGATTTGGAGGAGAGAGAGTTTACTGAAGAGACAGAAGTGCTAGGAAACAAGCACCATAAAATGTAACTAATGTAAAAGAAACTGTAATCTTGGAAATGGAAGCATGTTAGTGACAGATAATCCTTATGGGGTTTTAGACAGGGAAAGTTGGGGAGAATATTTTTCAGTGTTTATCCATGACTGCCCAACAGGCTGAAGAGACTATATTTAATGTCACTAGTAATCTGATCACTTGAAAAGTGACAGATTCTCTGATTTCTCAGACAGCTTGATTTAAACAGTTCATGGTACTACCAACCGCCTCTGCAGTAAACCTGGTCTCACAGAGCAGACACCAGATTGTTATTGTAAAGAGCTTGGGGACTGTACCTTGCATG